GTCACCGACTTTCTACTGCATGACATCATTTCACATCACGGCGCTCATCGACAGCTCGTTACTGACCAAGGCCGGCACTTTCTATCTCGTGTCGTCCAGGATATCGTACGTTCCTGTTCCACGAAACACAAGTTCACAACGGCTTACCATCCACAATCTAATAGACCTAAAGAGCGCCTGAATCACACTATCACCAACATGTTGTCATTGTATGTTTCTCCAGACCACCGTGACCGGGACGAAACGTTACCCTACGTCACCTTCGCTTACAACTCCTCCGAATTGACATCGCAGGCTATTTCCCGTTCTATCTTCTTTATAGACGTGAACCCTCTCTGCGTCTTGATACACTCCTTCCCACTGGTTCAAGCTCCCCAGTCACATATGTCCGCGATGCCATAGAGCGAGCCGACGCAGCACGACAGACTGCCCGAGAACGACTCATACTTTCTCAAGCCTCTCAGAAAGATCGATATGATCGTCACCACCGTGAAGTGTCGTATGCACCAGGTTCTCTAGTACTCTTGTGGACCCCATGTCGTTACATCGGCCTCTCAGAAAAGCTTTTATTTCGCTACGACGGACCACACAAAGTCCTACGCAAGATCACCAACCTCACCTACGAGATACAGCGAGTCGTCGATGAAGTGCACTCAGCGCCACCACCAGCTACTGTTGTGCACGTCGTGAAACTGAAGCCTTATTATTTATTAATTACATGTGTCACCCAACACCCTCTTTTCGTGACAAGCGCCGGGTCGGCTCCTTCTAACGCTGTGGGGTAGTGCCACAAGGCAGTAATGGGATTGGTGCATAAAGCGGTAGAGGGTCTCTGCCTGGAAGAAAAGACTAAGAAGTGGATAGAGACTGGTCTCAGCCTGCCAGTGTGCCAGGCATTGTCGTCGCTTGTAAAAGTCGTAAATATCTGCAAATATACGTTTCCTTGAATATATATATATATATATATATATATATATATATATATATATATATATATATATATATATATATATATATATATATATATATATATATATTCATTCCAAAGTGACTGTGTTTGGAAAATCATAAACCATTAACTTAAAGATCCTGCCACGCGGTTCTTGGCCGATGCCCCTTTGTGGGTGTGCACCAGCATTACAAGAGTCATCATCATCAGAAAAAAAAGAAGACGCCGCATGCAGCTTCGTTCCGTTTTTTGCTTCACCTTCCAAAGTGTCGACGGAGGCAGCGTCGCGTCTCTCTCATTCGACACAGCTTCTTGCATTGTGAATGTTGGTTTCCAAAACAAACATGCATATTCATCACTACAGCACTCGCAAAACTTCGTTTTTTTTTACTTTGTAGTCCTTCTATTCTACGCCTTGCGTTATTTCTTCCTTAGATATATATTGTTTTCTTTACATATAGATTCATGTTTTCTGGACAGAATAACTGCATATTGTTCGTCGTGAGAATTACTCTCTGTAACCCACATTTGTTAACCCACCCCTCATGTAATACCCATTAACCGGGGTCTTTAAGGTATTACCTTGAAAAAGTGAAGTGAAAATACTATATATAATAAGCTACCACCGATTTTATTACCCATACCCTATAATGTGTGTGCCAGTTCAATAATGGTCCATCAAACAACCAATGTCTTAGTTTGACCCTGACGAATACGCATAGCGCTGCTGGACCGCTGGTTGTGTCCACAGTAATGCGAAGTAACTCTGTTCACCCTTAACTGATGGTCATTTCCACCCGGCAAAGCACTACATCACCTCGAAATGCGTTCCCTGAAACTGCGAAGGATATACGGCGAGTTAATAATTATCAAGGTTCATATAAACGCTTGATCAGGCTTCAGTTAAATGAAAATGTCTTTCATAAGTTTATTTTCTCACCAGCTATATGGCGGTAAGATGATCACGCAAGAATAATGCACCTGCAGAGCTGGCAGCTAAGACCAATTCAAGCACTGATCCACTTACTTAGCTGCCTCATAATGAAGGAACGAGTCGAGAAACTGTAAAACGTTGTTCCCGCAATTCACGACGTGTACCTCTTGGTACAAATCACTACGCAGCAGTACATGATTCCTATAAGCTACGTGTTAAGGGGCGTTGGGTGAGCGTTTGGTTTTGCTCAAGCTCTCAATAACTGGCTGCTCTGACGCCCGTGAGGCATCACGCCACTCGCTGTGCACGCAGTATATACAGTCATTGTATTGTGTCCGGCAATACTTTGACATTTAAAGGTGGCCTTCGCCGGGGCATACCAACACTGCGAACATTCATTTGCGGGCACTTTCCCCATGGTGTACGCACGCTCATTCAACGCGGTAGTCCCCGCTACCACTTCCGCTTAACCGCCAACCCAAGATAGCTCGGAGGCTGCCCTGCTCGGCCACCACGCCTTGGAGGGTCAAGGCTGCCCTGCTCGGCCCTCGTGGCCAAGGCGTGTGCCGCAGCGGAAGACACAGGGGTCCCGGACTCGGCACTCCTCCTAGAGTCTGTACAGGGTCGACGCTTAAGGCCGCCAATATTTCTCTCTTGTAAACAGTTGAAAGAAATGTTTTTCACTAACACCACTTAGCGTCTGAGAGATGATGTGTTTGTCACCTGATATACGATTTTGTTTCCAATAAAGAGGTGATGCGTTGTTTTTATAGAGAAAGAGGCTGCTTGTTTTTATATATTGTAAAAAAATATAAGAGACAGGGTTAATCCCCTCTTCCCCCCTCGCCCGGTAAAACTGCCGGACCTTAATAAAGTTTATTCAATCATTCATTACGAAAATCGAATCGAGAGTCTATTAAAATGTGATAGCCTAGTGGTTGAATACTTGCAGTCCTACTATCATGGGAAATTTGGCAGTAACTTGTTTTTATTCATATGGACGAAAATCTTGAAAAGTTGAAACAAGAGGCCCGTGATTTTCAAGATCAAAATACATGCTAAGCATATTCGCAGCCCCTTACTTTTGATCATTCGCAAGGTATTTGAAGCGCCGCTGAAGGAGCCTTGGGTAGACATTTCACTCGCGGACAACTTTTCGTGGCAATGAATTGAAGGATACAGAGCCAAATCACGTGTATTCTACCAGTGATGAATGTAGTCGCACTACTGAGTTTGTTTGCTCCGCTTGGGGCATGTAGAATTAGGCTTTATTTTCTACATGTATATAGCTCTTTTAGATACGACGAAGTACACACCAGCGAGGTGTTTACGTTTCTCCTAGTCTTCTCGTCTTCCCTTTATGTTTTCATGCACCTGACAAAGTAGCGCCAATTTACAGTACCTCTAACACCAAACCACGTGTATTACGAAATGCAACGCTGATTGCATGAAAGCCTCACTTTCCGTAGTGGTACGACACGTGTGCCAAATCGAACAAGTTTGCGCGAGATTACGTGTATAGTCCCTCCACCGCCCCCATAGCTTTCCCTTCATCACTAAGAAAAGTTGCCCCGCCGCGGTGGTCTAGTGGCTAAGGTACTCGGCTGCTGACCCGCAGGTCGCGGGTTCGATTCCCGGCTGCGGCAGCTGCATTTCCGATGGAGGCGGAAATGTTGTAGGCCCGTGTACTCAGATTTGGGTGCATGTTAAAGAACCCCAGGTGGTCAAAATTTCCGGAGCCCTCCACTACGGCGCCTCTCATAATCAAATGGTGGTTTTGGGACGTTAAACCCCACAAATCAACCAAGAAAAGTTGTCCTCGCCAGCCTACATGACCACTCCTTTGTTTTCTACGTCTAAAGCGCCACATTTATTTCAGGTTTTATAGCATAAATCTCTGTAACGATTCCATTCAGTTGAAGGCCTTAATCAAAAGCCACAACTCTTGGTTTTGCTTTACATTTCGCAAGAAATTTGCATTTGTGCTCCTCAATAAGGTTGCATCGAATGTAATGCAGAAGCCGTAAACCCTTTGTACAAGTGACGAGCCTTTTTACGCAATGAGCACGTCTGATCAGGCAGCGGTAGCTTCGCTACTCACAGCAGCTATAGCTAAGCTGTGGATTGGTTTGCTGAGCTACGGCCGCTAGCTGAAGTGTCGAGCGGACGTGTAGTTTCGTGCTGCCCAGGAGGAAGTCGGTGACTAAGGTGGTGGCTGGAACACCAAATATGGCGTAGGGGCAGTAAGGCACAAACATTCTGTTCTTTTTTCATGTTCTCGCCATTTCGAATGTCATCGCTCTTGCATAAGTGTTTCTTTCGGTCCAATTAAGTTCCCAAGGTCATTCCGACACGTGGTGCAAAGTCACCTACGACAAACCAGAAAAATACCAGCATCCGAGATTGAACCTAATAAGTTAGTTTATCTACAAGCATACTTGCACAAGTCCAGGATGTCTCTTTGTACGTCCGTGTTCTTGATAAAAGGATAATAACCTACAATGCTGACAAGAACTAACGAGTATGTTTTAGAACACTAAAAAATTTCTTCATTTACTATAATTTAGTGAATGCCATCCTCTATGCCTTTTTGTTTGCATACAATCTCAAATATTCAACTATGCATAAAACAGGCATCCTCGAATGTTAGATCTCGACTAAATGCCATTGGCATTAGTTGCCTATTCTTGCGCTAGCAGTCCAAGGCGATTCGCATAAGGGCTGGTTAAGCTATGGTGATATTCTCTTTGAGAATAAGCTAACGCGTTTTCCAATTCTCTATTATTATTTTCTGGGCGCAGAGTCTCTATTTAAGTGCTTTTTCAAACATGACATGTACTTATCCCTCAGCGTCAACACTAAATGAGTAGTATGTGCAAATGCAAAAAATGCGGCATATATTTGTCCTAGCGGAATTCTCATTTGTAATAGTTGGTGCTGATACACATCGAAGAATACTTTTGCCACAAATTGAACGAAGACATAAAACACGCCCATCCTTCTTTTTTGTTATGTGTCCTCGCTAATTTTGTGCCAACGGTATTCTAAGTTATGAATGTGGCATGCGTATTAACAAAGTGTACTTAACGTGCATAAAATGGACTTTCTGGCATCCAGGTTTCTCCACTGCGAAAGGAGCACTGGTGCGCTCCATCCTGTTCGCCCAGCCAGCTCCATTCCGATTCTACAGGGATGCTATTCTCTTCGTGCTGCTGCTATTTGCTGTGGCCAGCGTTGGCATGGTCTATACTCTCTACCTTTACATCATAAGACAGGTAAGTCTAATCGCATATTTACCTCTCTGAAAAAATCTGAAGCAGAAACCTGCTTCTGATTTTAAGTATTGAAGGTCAGCCATTAAATACCGTGCCTTCATATTTAGTGAAAGTGTACCGTGGCTGCTGCTGTCTGTTTATGTCAACCTGTTATTATTTTTACTGCATGCTAAACAATAAAACATATACGGCTGTACTGTTCAATCTATAAGAGGAAGCGTTAGTTTTGCACTGTTTTCCAGTTGTTTCATAAGGTATATATGAGTGAACTAAGAAAAACATGGCATAAATGTTACATGCGAGATTCGAAATGCAGGTTTGTTTGAAGTCGGTGCTTGTAAAGCTAATCTTTTTTCCTCGTCCGCATGCGTCTTGAACACTGTTAAGTAATTCGACAAGCAGCTCAGGGTATTAGCAACACCTGCGTTTTGGAAAGTTGGTTCATACTTGATGCGAAACAGACCCGCGCTATACTTCGGGCTTCATGCCGATAGCCCCGTTTCACAGCACTCACCTGTTTCGCATCAACCCTAATTTATCTGCGCCCGAATTGCCGCACACGTCAGAAATGATGGAGAAGCCACATATTCGATTGTTTATTTCATGAAGGGAGTAAGTCCTAGGTGGCAAAGCTAAAAGGAGGAGATTGTATGCTTTACCAAAACATTGGCACCCATACATTCCTCTAACAGTGAAGTAGCACAAACAAGGCAACATGTAAAGCTTGCGCAATAAAATAAGAAACGTAAAATTGGCACGCGTAAATAAAAAAAACTGTAAATCAGTTTCTAAGAAACAACAATTTAGTGCACGCTAAAATTATTTCCAATAACAGAAAAAAAATTCTTAAATACGATGTGGCAGTGGCGGCGTCCCAAACTAAACGAATAATTATGCATAGTAATTACAACCACAGCGACACGTCCTACAAAAGAGGACCTGCCACCTCACAGTTCACTCAGCAACAGAAAGAAACAACGTGCTGAAGGTATTTTAGAGGCGAAGCATCTTATGGTCGAGCTAAATCCGTTGTGCGGCACGACCACCCAATAATGCACGTGCGTGCCTCTTCCCTCCCTCTCCCATTGTCCCACCTCACAAGACCAACGCAGGGGGCGTCTTCAAAAGAGCGCTCATGTTTCTTGAGCACATGGATATTTAGACTATTTCTGACAACAGAATGCAAATTCAAGCCACCACGATGTCACTCAAAAAATGCGCAATATACGCCCTTGTTATGAATATAAACATAACTTAGATGTAATAATCATCATCAACACCCTGACTACGTCCACTGCAGGACAAAGGCCTCTCCCATGTTTCGCCAGTCAACTCGGTTCTGTGCTTGCTGCCAATTTATACCCGCAAACTTATTCATGTCATCTGCCCAACGAACATTCTGTCTCCCCCTAACCCGCTTGCCTTCTCTGGGAATCCAGTTTGTTACCCTTAATGACCAGCGGTTATCCTGTCTACGTGCTACATACCTGGCCCATGTCTATTTCCTATTCTTTATACCATGCATATCGAACTAGCCCAACTTTCGATTCTGTTCCTATTCTTTATTGAAAAACACTGACTGCTCGTTCTGCAGAACTGTTCACTGACCACCCCGTATCTAGAATACTAGATCTTGAGTCCTCCAAGGTTGTGCTGGTGGGAGGTTGCTCCTGTGCGTTGCGGAACAATAAAAATTGCAGCGGCGCGTTCACTAAAAGAGGTGGGCAGGTCTCGGTGTTCAAATAGAGTCTTCTGTCTCTTGTTGCCCATACGCAATGATTGGCATGTTACAGTAGGAAACACCGGTCCGTCAATGCGTGCCTTATGCTACACTAGGTTACTCTGCTGCGCGACGCCGCGATGAGCGCCAGCGTCAACGCCGCTGCCAGAATGAGAGTTTGCGCCCGCTGCTTCGAATATACACATCGTTCTGTTAATCAGGTGATGGTGTAATATTTCATAAATCTTGGTGATTATTTTTGACACAATACTAATAGTATTAAAATGTGAATTTATGAAATATGGAAGCTGTTTTGTACTGCATACGACTCTGTATAAAGGAGCTATCAAGTAATTGTGCCTTAAATTGTTGGTTTATGAAAAGATGCATTTTTCTTTAGCACACTTCGTATATGTACGGCGGGCCTAGGTTTATAAACTTCAATAATTGGTGAAAGGCTATGTTTCGAGAAAATGTATCCTGTATGATAGCGACAAGCAAGGTTTTCCAAAAAACGGACTGCTAGCCTCTGAAAAGTTATTAGCCGATTCAAGTTCGATTGGTATGTGGCTCCCATTACAATTCGAGAATAACTTAAGGGCGATTGAATTTATGCGTGGTATAAACTATGTTTAATTCAGACGAGAAGAAAGTGACTAGCAAGAAATATGCCTGTGGATCTACAGATGCTTGAATGATCCTCTAAACGTGGTGTGTGAAACGCAGGTTTTCACCGAAGAGAATTCAGAGAAACATAAATATCTTGGCTCCTTTCTTGGTCATAGAAAATGGTAGAAATTGGTAGAAGGTGTTTTCACACATGTAGTTGTACGTATATCATTCTTTGTTTCACCACAAGGATGAAGGAATGAATGCTACAGCAAGAAACTACAACTTCCTACGACCTCGCAAGTGAACACTTGTAGTCTGCACATAGTATGCTGTAGAAAATGATTGAAACTTGCAGCCTATTCGTGAAGCACAAAAGACGTACGAGTGGAACATACACCTGGTGAACACGAACTGACAACTGTCCCAACTCAGCATTCAAAGCACTCCACTCAAAGAGAAAAAATGATCTACGGGAAATGCAGAAGCATACACAGGATGAGTGCTGATTAACAAATGTCCCAACTGTTACTTGGCGCTTGATTTTCACGCTCTTTTCGCAAGCGCGGCCGCTGCAGCAAGCGACGAGACCTTCGGGCTGTCTTCAGTGCTCACTTGCAGAGAAATTCAAAGACATGTGAATCCCCCGAATATGAGGTAAGCACGCGTACGGCTGGCGAATGCCTGTTGAGGTACGCGTGCATCACAATTCGCGGGTCGAGAACCTTTAATGCACTCTATCCACACACTTCTCGCCTGTGATAACAAGAAGTCATTAAAGTAAATGATCGTTTAGTACTGCGAGAGGTAAATGGTGTATATAAATAGCTTCTCATTGGCATAGTGAAGAATGTACGTTTTTTGTCACAGTTGAATCTCCCCACGCACTGCGGGAGTAAGGGGCCGTAAGTTGGACTTCCGGCAACAAAATTTCTTTATTGAATGGTTTTACTTTTATCTTATTTTTAGAAGCTTCATATCCGTCCCGTAAATACGCCTGTGGAGCAGTGGTGAACCTCAGCATAAAACACTTTCGTGTTAAAACGAAAGTTTATTTGATTACAGCGTCATAAACTTGACAAAAAGAGCAGCCTTTAAGCTTGTTTGCAGGTTTAAAAACAAAATCTTTGGTTTTACAGATATTCAACTGCAGCTGGTTCACTGAAGGCCTAACATGGAGATAATGTATCTACTTGTTAGCTGCACTTTTGAACCCAAATTGAACGATAGGGGAAAAGATTAAAGTGCGTCTGCGATAATAAGAGTACGTAGTATATGAGTGATCGTTATAGCGTGAAGACGGAACAACGACAAAGGGACCAAAACGAGTCGGGTGCTAACTTGCAACTGATCCCACTGCACAGAGCGCGAGAACATATAGAAGAGACAATGAACCGTGTGGCAACAACCATATGACACAAAAAGCAATGCAAGAGTTAGAAGAAACAAAAGCAAAGAAAAATATTTAAGGAAACGAAACAGAAAACTAAAGGTAAAACCAAAGGTACTATAACTAGGGGGGGGGGGGTGATTCCTAAATGATAAGGAGATAAACGTGCACCTCGTTACTGTCTCTCAGGGGGAGGACACCTCAACAGTAGCTCAAGAGAGATGGGGGGAAAGGAGAAATAAAAAGTATAGGGAGGAATTAAACGTATAGAGATATAGAGAGGAGCAGAAAGAGAGAGAGGCGCACGGACAGCGACATGTAAAAGTAAGGAAAATATAAGAAGATGGCCACAGTCGCAGGAGTGCGAGGGCGGGGCACCAATCGACAAGAGCTTATGTCGGCGGCAGGAGATGGCGTAGGTCAAGCCAGTCGGCTGGAGCTGTGCTGTCGTCGGCGATAGCGGGGGCACAACTGTTTGGCACGAAATCCAGTGAGCGAGTCTACTATGACTAGTTGCGCGCACCGATACCGTCTAGGAACATTAGTTCTTTCTCGTATAGATACACGGAGGGCTTGCCAATCATTGACACCTGTTCGTGTGTCATCTGCGGCCTATCAACGATAACTCGGGTGCGCTCATCCCTGTGCTAATACAGCGTCACTGTATCCTTCAAAAGGGCCCCACAGTTGCACTCACTGCTGTGCTGAGCATAAAAACCAGCTTTGTCATTTTTAAAATTGTTAGCGTGCTCCCGCAGTCTATCATTCAGACACCTTCCGTTCGTTTCAACATAATAAGCACCACAGGAAAGATGGTCCTATAGACAACCTCCAGAAAACATGCCACTTACCTGTTCCTACGCTTAACTTTACTTTCAGCTCAAGACTGTTTTTTCAGGGGTTTTGTAGATATGGTGACTTGGTGACACTGATTGATTTGAATGCTGCAGAGAACAGCACACGAACGCCCGCACGTTTTGAGATTTTCTTGAACCTTTGTGATATCTGGTGTTTGTACCGAAGAACAGCTATCCTGTCACATTGTGTATCCGTGTTGCTCGGATTCTATCTATGCCTTTGCTCTGCCGTACTGGTCCACGTGATAGACTCAGCGACAGATGCTATAAACGCCTTAAGAAATTTTGAAGCCATAAGCCGGGACACTTGAGCTTTGAAGCTCGCAGCGATGTTGTAAAAGCACGACCTGTTCAAGGCATTCTTCTCAAGGCAGGTCCGTGCAATGCCTCGCTTTACTAGCTTGCTGTGACCGAAAGAAAGAGG